GAGGGTCGTCCGGTTGCAGACCGGACCGGGCCACAACCAGGCCCGGGGGCCCGGGGGCCCAGGGGCCACGACCTCTACAACAAATGTGTGGCCCGGGGGCCCGGCCAGACCTTGAGGGGCCCAAAATCGCATCGGAGGGCGGTTCGATGAGCGTCACGGCGGCCCCAGCCAGCCGCCCACCACCCTGAAGACGGCTTTGACGGATCGGATCACGGGACGTCTCCAACGGCCCCAGAGGCTTCGAAGACGCTTCGTAACCCGTGCAATTTGCCCCACGAGGGCCCCGAGAAACAAAAATAGATCCATTCCCTCCGTAAAACGTATATTTTTACCGCATTCGTGATTTTCGTCTTCGCGCCATCCTTGACGACTTCAGGGGTCCCTAAGATTGCCCCTGCACGGCCCAAGAGGCCCCCCAGAGGGCGCCAAGACGGTCCCAGAGGCACCCAAAACGGCCCCAACAGCTTCCCAGAGGGCTCCGAGAGGAGCACAAGATAGGGCAATCCAACTGGAATTGCCAGCCCCACGCCCCAAGAGGGCGCCCGAGACCCCCACGAGGCCCCAAGCAGCCAACACGAGGCCTCCAAGACGCTTCATTCATAACCCGTGCAATTTGACTTCCCAGAGGGCCCCGAGAGGCAAAATTGGCCCCGTTCTTTTCGGAAAACGTACATGTCAACCGCATTCGTGTTTTTCGTCTTCGCACCGAGCTTGTCCCCAAGAGGCCCCCAAGCAGACCCCAAGGGGCTTCCAATGTATGTATTTATGTATGCATGTCTGTATGTATGTATGTATGGATGGATGGGTGGATGAACGGATGGATGGATGGATGGATGGATGGATACGGATGGGGATGGATATGTATATGTATATGCGTATGTACATGTTTATGTAAATGTATATATAGATATATGTGCATATGCATATTCATACGTATGTTTGTGTATATATACATATATGAATATGTAGATGTACATGTATATGTACATGTATATGTACAAGTATATGTGTATGCACATGTTGATGTAACTGTATTGTATATGTATATGTATATATACATGTACATGTACATGTAATGCACGTGAATATGTCTATATGTATATATATATACATATATATGAACCATGCTGCGTATATGTTCATATGTATTTAGGCATATGCATTTGTATAGGTATGATTTTATTTCCAAACATAGATGCATGCACATGCGTATGCATAAGTATATGTATATGTGTATGTATATGTATAGGTTTAGATATGCGTATGTGAAGATGTTTATGTTTATGCATATGTGTTTGTATACGTATATGTATGCGTATATGTATATGCATGTGTATATGTATTTACACATGGACATGCATATGTATGTGTATATGTATGCGTATATGTAGATGTATATGTAAATGAATAGGTACATCTATATTTGCATGTATGTCATATGTAGATGTAGATGTAGATGTAGATGTAGATGTAGATGTAGATGTAGATGTAGATGTAGATGCATATGGAGCTGTATATGGATATGCAGACGTATATGTATATGTCGATGTGTATATATATATATATAGAAAGAGAGAGAGAGAGAGAGAGAGAGAGAGAGAGAGAGAGAGAGAGAGAGATGTAGATATCCCCGTGCACGAGGCCCGGGCGACCGGGGCCGCGACCACGACAGGGCATGGGAGGACCAGGGTTCCCCAGACCGCTCCCAGAGCACCCCGGAGCGGCCCTGGAGCTCCCAGACTGTCCCAGAGAGCTCCCAGAAGCCCTCGGGGACTTCGACAAGCCCTTCCAAGACAGCCCAGATAGCCTTAACGTGGCCCAGGATGGGTTCGAGACCGCAAATGCACAGCCCCAGAGGCCTCCAAGAGGCCTCAAGAGAGCTCCGAGAAGCATCCCGAGAGCCCGAAGAGGCTCAAATCCTTGATTTCCGTTGGTTTTTGAAATGTTTTTCGGTGTCTCGCGTTTTCGACCTCCCGGCGCTCTACGACAGCCGACGACGCCCCCAAACCGCCGAAAAGACCTCCAACAGAGCCCCAAGATTGCCCAAAGGAGCCCGAAAATTCTTTACGCTTCGCGTATCCCCACCAGCCCATCTCACAGCAGCAACTCTCGCGAAGCATGCCGACAGTCGTGTTTTTCAGGCGTGTGTCCGCTTGGCCCCGCATATCTCCCCTGTTCCTCCGTCCTCCCGCCTCCTTGTACATCCTCCTTGTGGGGGGAGCGGGAGAAGGACGATGCGGAGGAGGAGGGAGAGAAAGCGCTCCTCGGGATTTGAGTCGTTTGGGGTTTCTCGTCCTGGTGTGAGTCGTTCGGGCCCTTCTTCCTGGTGTGAGTCGTTCGGGCTCTTCGTGGTGTGAGTCGTTCGGGCTCTTCGTCCTGGTGTGAGTCGTTCGGGCTTCTCGTGGTGTGAGTTGTTCGGGCCCCTCGTCCTGGTGTGAGTCGTTCGGCCCCTCCTCCTGGTGTGAGTCGTTCGGGCTCCTCGTGGTGTGAGTCGTTCGGG